TGCAAAAATTGCTAAAAGAAATTATGATGAAGATAGCAACAATCCTTTTTGTGAAGATTTTGTTTGCTCAAATGGATCAGCATGAAGAATAATCATTTTAAAGTGACTTTGGTTCCGATGATGCTCCAAGTTATTCAGCTGAAATATTTTGCAAGTTTAAATTTGAAAGTGATGTTAACTTTATGACTAAGGCCATGTTCATCAATTTTAGCAGTTCTAGTAGCTGTTAACTATTGTAATAGCTGTCGGCCGTTAGTGGTTAGATATTAGTTGTTATTTGTTTATATAGCGGTTTAATGTAAAAGTGTTCGATACAAATAAGTGTGATATTAGCTGTTAGTGGTTAATTGTTTATGCAGTGGTTTAAAATAAAAGTATCTGATATAAATAAGTGTTTGGTTAACTGTTTAATATAAAATGACAAAAAAATATAAGAATATAGGGAACAAGGCAAACATAAGTGTTGGGTATAAACGTCATACAAAATTTATAAAACGCTAAACATTAATGAGTATGACATTTCATAAAACACTACTTTAGACTTTAAATGTTAAAATATATGTGACATTACCAAGTACGATTAAAACTAAGTCTGAACGCTAAACACTGTTCCAAACATTGTTACATTCATATGTAACAAAAGCTTTAATTTAGCCTTATAAAGAGGCTCTTGTATCAGTTACAATGAACGAGAAAAACCTTAGTTTCCTTGAGTGTCTTTCTTACTCTATACTTTAGAGTTTTTCTCCAAAACATTTCCAGCTCATAAAACCAATTAAGACAACAATTTCACAAGTTTTGGATCTATTGCAAATTTGGTGTCAATCAAAATTTTCATATTTTTTGTTCTTAATGTGAAAATTGAGTGCTCAAATAGAAGATTTGCATACCAAAAATTTGAAACCCAGGATGGAAGTTCTTTGAAAAAGGAAATAATTTTATCTCAAAATCAAGAACACCCATAGAGCTAAAAAAGCCAAAAAGCACGAAGAATACTCAATCTTCTACGAAAGAAGAAAACCCAATTGGGAATTTCAAAATCGAAACTATCCAGAAAACCTAATGGATTGCAACAGGGAACCAAATAAATAATCAAGAAGTCCCAGGATACCCACTTCAAGCTTACAGTGAACAAATGTCTTTTTATAACTAAAAACGAAAATTAAAAAAAAACTAAAAATAAATATTTGAAGTCTAGTAATATTCAGGCATGGCCACGGTTCCGGAACCGGCGGTTCCGGTTCCAGAAAAGCTGGAACCGGAACCCGAAACGAATGGTCCAGGTACCGGTCCGAACGTTCGGTTCCGGTTCCTGGTTCCGACCGATATACAAAACCGACAGGGTTCCGATTGGTTTTCCGCGAATCGCATTAAATTTTTATAATTTTAAATTTTGGATACCGTTTTTAAAAAAAAATTATTAACATAAAAATTAAAAAAAATACAGTTAAAAAATTTAAAATATGAAATCCGGTTAAAAAAAAATTATTTGAACATGAAAATTTAAAAATACAACCCTAAAAAAAATTTTAAATTTGAAGATCGTTTAAAAAAAAATTATTTGAACATTAAAAGAGATTAAAAAATACACCTAAAATTTAAAAAACTTCAACTTAAATTTATTTTAAAGACTTGAATTTGTTGAGGTTTTTTTTTTGAACATAATGATTTTTTTAAAAAATTTGAACTAATTTTTTTTTTAAGTTGAACATAAAATAAAAAAAAATGCTTGATAAACTTAATTTTTTTTTGTTAAAATTTTTTTTTTTAAGTTTGAACATAATTTAAAAAAAAAAATTGGGCTTGAACTTAATTTTTTTTTGTTTAAAAAAAAAATTAAGTTGCCTACGTATCGCTATTTGCACCACCGGTTGATGTTCCCGTTGAGGACCCATCGTATAAATCAAATAAATCTTCATTTTTCTTTTGGATTTTCTTGGGCTCTTAGTTCGGCTTTGGTCCAATCATCCACACACACTTGTGCTTCTAATGAATCGGGTGTCATACGAGATCGTGTTTCATCAAATATGTTACCTCCTTGACTAAAAGCTTGTTCAACCGCAACAGTGGACCGGAGCTGCCTAAATTTGTTTGCAAGTAAAGAAAAGAAATTGAAATATATTTGCGTGCGACATCCACCAATCTAAAAATTTTGGAAAATCTGCATCGACTATTATCACCAATCAAAAAATTGTTAGAATAATTTTCAAATTTACAGAAATAGAACTGGATTCCCTTTCTTTTTGTCTTTGCAATAAAACTTGTGAGCACATCAACACCACTAACCTTTTGTTGAAATTGTGGAATATTAATTGAGAAGATGTAGAATAGAAGTAGAATGAACTAGAACTTAACAAATTCAATATAAAATTGCATTAATATTTTGTCTTAACTTCATGCCACGAGACATTAATATTAACATTATCTTCACAATCAAGACTTTAATACTGTATAATAAAATAGTCAATAATCAATCACAAAAAATATCCATTCTACATCTTAGATCAAAACAATGCAAACAAGATAAAGAGTGTATATTTTTAAAAGAAAATAACCATTTTTTTTTCATTGAAAGAAAAAATACAATCTTTTAATAAATCATCATTTTGAAATTCTTGTAGTGCAGTAACAATATTAATACACATAGGTAAAAATAAATTAGATGTGGGATAGTAAACCCCACTAAATTTATAGGTAGCATCATTAAAAATTTTTAAAATATCTAAAATTTTTGCACAAATCTCCCAATTTTGTGGATATAAGTTAATATCCTCAATATTATTAGTAACAAAAAAACATAATAATTCTTTATAAGAAAAAGACTAGTTTAGTAATTTATATGTTGAATTCCAACGAGTTGGGACATCCCTTGGAAAACGTTTTGGTCTTTTATTATTTTCTTTACAAAATTTAGCCCAACTTTTGATGTGCCATAAATATTGAAAAAGTTTTTAATTGAGAAATAAAAGAATCAAGAATTTCAAACCATCTGTAACTATAAATTTAAAAACTATGGCATGCACATCTTATATGAAAAAATACACCAATTATTTTGTTTCACAAATCTGTTTTAAGTTCAATAATGTGATAGTAGGTATTTGCAGGAAGCATATCAAATGAACTAGAAAAATTTTTTTTGTCAACCATATTCATCTAAAATTGAATACAATACCTTATAAATTATTAATCAGTATGTTATTTCATCAAAAACACGAAAAACTCAATAAATTTCTTTTTTAATTTTCCAATCATTCATTGCAAATCCAATACATGTAATAGCCCATTAATAAGAATTGCATATTGCCATATGATCACTTCAAACATCACTAACAAATTGAAAACACAATTTTCAATTGAGAAAATAAAAGTTACTAACTCTTTTTTTCCTTGTTATATAAAGAAATAAATATTCGTTTTACCATTATTTCTTTTAACTCTTAGCACTAATGATTAAAAGCTATTTTACAATAATTATTAAAACCAATTTCACCAAACTGAAAAGATAAAATGTTCCATAGAATATCATTTTCCTAATTCTTCTTTTTGTATTCTATCAATTATATTTAATAAAAGAAAGTAGAAAGCGTACCGAGAAATGTTGTTGAGATCCGTCAACTCTATTTTTGTTGGATGTTTTTGCCTCCAATATGCTTCCAAAAAGATCCATAGCCGCCCGCTTGTTTAAATTTATAGATTTTCCACAGTAATTCAAAATATACATCGTACATTTTCTCACCTTTTGAATCTTTTTTGTGAAAATGAATGGAGAATTGAACTTTGTCTTGGCTCTTTCTAACAAATTTGCTCGTGCTCTTCTCTGCTCTTGCACTTATCTCTTAAATTGGCTCCTACTGATCTAAACATTACCGTAACTTTTCGTTTCGAGTTTGCTAATATCACAAGTATCTTTTTCTTTTGTGAATAAACTCTTACAAAATAAATTTTCAGTCGCTGTAATCAATACCATAGATGTCGTTGTAGGATTAGTATGAATTCTTCCTATGTCCGCCCTTAACACTGCAATTATTTGAGTTTTTCTTTGCCACTTGCTCCAAAAATTATTGAGATAATAAACAACTAATAATTTTTTGCATAAATTGAATAAAACAAAATTATTCTTATAACAGTTCCCTCTAATAACTTTAACTTAATAAAATATTGTAGCGTATGAGAAGAATAAATACGATTTAAGATTAGGAGTAGACTGACAATTTGTTATGTATAATGTAGATGAAATCCTATTTGAACGCGCAGTGTAGTGGCTATAATTTTGTTTGAAGAAGCAGTAATAGTAAAGATGTAGAGCTTGAGCTTTATTTCTTGCTAATATCAATTTTCGCTATTAAATAATCGACGTGAATTCTTGTAACTATTATTTTTATTTTATACGTAAATCCTAAAAAATTCCATTATTCTTTCCACCAAATGTTCTCATTTTCCCCCCTTACAAAATCTAAATATAACCCCTTAATGTCATCTCGCCCTTTTTATAGTCTCCAATCCTTGGAGGTAATAAACATATCACAACAAAAAAAAAAAAAAATAAAAACTGACAGTACAACGCTAGAAAAACCCGGTCACCGTTGAACTGGCTGTTCTAACCCAGATAGAACCGCGTTCCATTCCGTTCTACCGGCTCTCTAACGGCCGTTGATTCCATTGCGAACCGAATCCGAATCCGGTTCCGGTTCGTCCCGGTTCCGGTTACGGTTCCGGGCCGGTTCGAACCGACGGTTCCGGTTCCCGGAACCGTAATTTGGCCATGCCTAGTAATATTCTCGTGCAAGACCCCACCAAAATAAAATATTCTCGTTAAAAAGAAAGGAGACCTATAATACGAGTTTTCTTTATGTCTAATGATGACGGATTCCGAATCCATATAGAAATCGAAAAGGGAAAAGCCCTATTTCCAAGCCTATTTCCAACACAACTATAAATATTGCATATAATTTTTGTTTCTAAAACCCTGGTTCAGACCCTGAAAACCAAAGAGAGAACCTCAAGGGCGGCGCTGCCATGGAAATCAGAGTACCTGAAGAAATTGTAGGGCAGATATTCTCAAAGCTACCGGCTAAATCACTACTGCGTTTCAAGTGCTTATCAAAATCATTGAATTCTCTAATCTCTAGTCCAAACTTCATCAGGTCACACGTCCCACGATCCCAAGGTGATTTACCCAAATTTGTTTGTGGTTCATATTTCTTTGATGTTAATACTGCAGTAGAAGCTAAGCCAGTTAAGTCTCCCTTAAAGCAACAAATACACCAACTCTTTATTCCAAAGATAATGAAGCCAATGCCTTGAGGATGTGTGTTTCATGGGATTTTTCTAGTAATAACAGTGTCTCAGGCGCTGATTTTGACTCTAACTATTATTCTATCATCGTATGGAATCCTTTGATTAGAGAATATCGAATATTACCAATGCCTGCAAGTGGTGATTATGTGTCTTATGGTTTAGGTTATGACTCTGTTACTGATGATTATAAGGTGGTACAATGTGGGTATAGCAAAAATCACTTGATAAAGCAAAATGCACTCATTGTTCTTTCATTGAAATCGAATTCTATGCGAAAGCATGAAAATTTGAAGTTCAATATTAGTTATGGTCAGGCAGGGACATTTCTGCATGGAGCTCTTCATTGGGTGGCAGAATTGGCAAATTCCGGCTGGGTGGCGGATTTTGCAAATTCTGGGAAGATTATTGTTGCTTTTAACTTGGCAGATGAGAAAATAGTACAGCTGAAACTTCCTAAAGACAATAATGGTGTTCGTGGGAATAAGTATGAATTAAGTGTCATTAAAGGGTGCCTTTGTTACTACACTATAAGCAGGAATTCGACATTTTGTTTAAATATTTGGGCAATGAAAGAATATGGTACGACATCGTCTTGGACCAAACTGATAACCATCCCACAAAAGAGAATGCACAAAGTTTTAGGACATTTTTGTTTTACAGGTAATGCAGTTTTTATGGTTAGTAAGTTATGTGGTGGTAATGCAAAATTGATACGGTACGATTTGAAGAATAAGAAATTGAAGACATTTGAGACTTTTGAACGTGTGCTTCCTATAATGGTATCCTTCATGGAGAGTTTAGTTTCACCAATATCAAATTAAACAATCTGTTGCTCTATTTATTATTTTTTTTATTTCACAATAATAATTTGACCTATTGAGGCTTATATATATATGGCTTTTGTATGTTTTATTTATTGTTTTTTATTAAAAGTATTGTTTTTTTCTCAGCCTATATAATTTGGTTTTAAATAAAGGGATATAAAATAATGAAATCATTTAATAATACATACTTGAAATCATTACTTAAAAAGAAAGCTTATAGCATGTCAGTGAATTGTTAATTATATATTTTGTTTTTCTAAGAAATTAATAAATCTTAAACAACTTATATTTTGATTTGGAGAAAATAAAAGATAATGAAATTTGTTTGATTGAGACCCTTATGAAGATAAAAAAAAAAAAAAAAAAAAAAGAAAACTCTAATAAGACAATCTTCATAGCAGCACTGCAAGAATGCACAAATGAATGCATAGACTCCTTGGAGCATGACCTTTTGTTTTGATCAGCAAATTAATTTATTTTATTAAAATTTTTAAATCCAAGAAAAAATTAGCAAGTTGAAGATGTTAGCCATCAATTTCAATTTGTTTTTCACACGAATAAGTTTTAAATACAAAAGTTAACAATTAATGTATATTTATCTATCTATACTATATATAAAAGTGAGGATGAGAGAGGAATAATGAGATTGAAATTTTAAAAATCCTAAAATATTCTTTTGGACAATTGATAATAATTTGAGTTGATTAAATAACTTGAATTTTTAATAATTGATAAATTATGTTAGTAAATTATTAATCAATTGACTTTTTGTAATAATTTTTTATTAATTGATTTAAAAAGCTTATATTCAATTAAATATCGGTTACATTCGATTATTTTTAAATTTCACAATGAATTAATTACTAAATCAATCAACAATCATATTTATCTTTAATGGTATTCAGGAGTATTTGTTTAAACTTTAACTTCTATAACACATGTAAGTATTTATTTTATTGAACACTAGAGTATGTCCCTAATTGTTCTTGTAACATTTGTGTAAACTAAATTATTATATAAAATAATGTAAATATTTTGAATATATAAGGAAAGACCATGAAAAAATAATTTAAGAATTTTTAATAATACCAAAATAAATTTATTTTCTCAAAGATGTAACATGGATAGACATTTAATATAATACATGATATTTTCTTTTAAAAGAACAGCAATACGAATATATTATTTTTTAATAAATATATATGATAATTAGACATTTGAAAATTTTTATATTTTATTTAATGAATTTATTTTTTAAATATTTGCCTCTATTTTTATTATAATTAAAAATATTTTATAAAAATATTTTATTTAGGAGATAGATAAAAAAAAAAGAAAAAAAAGTGCCATTGTTACAAGCATTTCAAAAATTTTAAATTTTTTCTTTTAAAATTTATTGTTAAATAAAATGAACATATTTATTAGGTAATATTATAGGATGACGAACAGTTGAAAATTTTAATTTTAAAAATATATGTAATAATTTATTGTTATATCTATGTATCTATATATATTGAAACATATTTATTAGGTAATATTGTAGTTATAATAAATTTTAGATATATGGCGATATAAATTAAGCTCGAACGTGTATGTATATGCACACTGCTATTTTATTAATTAATGTTATATTCACATTAATCTTATATAAAATTTATTTTAATATTATAAAAATCTAAATAATATAAGACAAAAAATTATAGTCGACATTTAATATTAAAAAATAAAAAGAGAATAAATAACAAGTAAAAAATGAAAAAAAAAATTTGAATGAGTACAAATAACGAGTATAGTTAATGTGCAACGCACGTTATAAAAAGACTAGTGTTATAAAATAATAGAAAAATAGGGAGAGAAATAAAGGGAGAATAGAGAGAATAAAAACCATACAAGAGTATGTTTATTATTGATGAGAAGTCACATATATATAATTACATAAATGGAACCCTAATAGAATCCTACATAAATCAAGAAGATAAATTTCTCAATAATTAAGCATACAGACATCTAGCTCATATAAGACATCTACTTATTTCATAACATTTCCCCTTGAATGTCCATTCTTCAAAGAATATGCCTCGTTAAAACCTTACTAAGAAAAAACCCTATAGGAAAAAAATCTTAGTGAAGGAAAACGAGTACATTATTTTTTTATTAAATACGCGTTGAAATACTCCTTCATTATAAACATTTATCAGAAAAATCCAGTGGAAAAAAAATCTTGATTAAAGGGAAAAAATAGTACAGTGTGTATTTACTCACCTGATGAAGATAAATCTTGAGATCTTTGAGTTTATGCATTTCAATTTTTATGCAGTAGTCCCTCAACACTTATGATAGAAAACTTGTAATAGAAAAACTTGTAATAGAAAGTGTTTGATGAGCAAATCAACAATGTCATTGTTTGAATGATTGAACTTCAATATCACAATTCTCCATGTAATATCGTAGGAATTTCTCTCTGCAAAATTAGACTGCACGTACTTAAATAAACACATTTTTGTCTTTCTTCATGAGTTGTTAAAATTTCTTTATGGTTAAAAGAAGTGGTAGCAATACTTCGTTTCTTGAATGCGATAAAATAATTTTACCTCCACATGTGAATGAATAACTTGTTTATAATCTAACATAATGTGGATTAGACAAGTAACTTGCATTTTCATAGCCAATCAAAACTGATTTTAACATGTTAGTTATAATATAACTCTATTTAATTTCTTCATATCCAGGAAGAACTATATCTTACTAATAAAATTTATAAAAATCAAGATACATTAGCGTATGAGTAGTAAGATATATTAGCGTCTTTATTACACTAAGATATGATATTTCAGATCTAAGAGTTCTTCATAATTTTCTCAAAGTGAAAAATGGTCATCTTCTCGACCTCACTATTATCCACATAAAATTATTTGAACAACTTATTCATATATATGGATTCATAGGCAAAATTTCATTTATGAAATGCTCGATCTTCAATTGAGACAAAACTTTATATTTTCAATGTCTTTCATCTCAAACTCTTGCCTTAAGAAATTTATAATCTTTGGAAGCTCTTAAGGGGTTCAATAATGTTCATAAACCAAACAATGACAAATTCATATTCAAACATCTCTATAAAAATTCTTGATCATATGATAATATTATTAAAATATCCTTTCAACATGTATTCACTAATCAAGAGATTATCTTACTCATGATAGTATATAAAGTAAATATCAAAAGTATACTTTCAATAATAAAATATTATAAAAAGAATATAATCATAAAATAATATAGTATACTTTCAATAATAAAATATTATAAAAAGAATATAATCATAAAATAATATAATATTTTCTTAGCTATAAATATCATTAAGGCAAGTATACCATATGTATTGAGATTTCTTTAATCCATATAGAAATCTTGAATATATTTCTCAGGGTCTCGATTTGCTTGTTTCAAGCATTTTTTCAGTATTACATGGATATCATTATCCACTAATCCATATAGAGCTCTATACAAGTTGATTGAATAAATTTTCTTGAGAATTTAACTTTATGCTTCAAGCAACTAGAATCCTTCAAGGATTTTCATATAGATATCTACATCAAGTTAGCATATAAATAGGCAGTCATTAACTCATTAGATGCATTTCGAATTTTCATAAATTGCCAGACTAATTAAATATCAAATTATAATTGTATCCACTATATAAGGGTATTTATTCTCATACTCAATGCTAGTTTTTGTGAAAAAATTATGTAACAAATTTTCTTTATATCTCATGACCCCATTTCAATTTCGCACAAATACGTATTTGTATTCTACTTGCTTGACATCTCTTGATGCCCATATTAAACTTTCAAAGTTTACTTTTCAAGTAAATTAAATACCATATGTGTCGTTTTATTTTGGCCAATCAATTCTAGATCTATGTCCTCTAATAGACTATATGCTCAAGATTGTCATCATCTTTCACAATTGCAAGCGCTATATTTATCATTGACATTTATTTTATATTGGTTATATACTTGTCCTGACATGACATAATTTATAGAGATCTCATAATCTTTATTAATTTCAGATACCTAAATTTCTTTGGGAAACTTATTAGTCATGTCTAGAAACTTCTTCCACAATTTGCTCTTCTAGAGCTTAACCATCTTAAATATTTGCTCCTTTCCTTTTCTAAGATTTTTATCCTTGGAACCGATTAGTCTACCACGCTTCTGGCATGCCTTAGACTCATTAGCATAGTCAGTTTGTCCTTTAGAGACTTTAATTCTAATAGGAGTATTTTGCAGCTAGAATATCAGATTTAATTATCTTCTTTTGGATCAATAAATATATCTGGCAATTAAGTTGCAATATCCTGCAATTGAATTATCTTTTAAACTTTTAAAAGTACATTGCCTTACATAAGGATCAACATATAATAACGATAATTCTTTTCCAACTAATTTATTCTCCTAGTTGCTTGTCAGGATGCATAAATATTAACAAATTTGGCTATAAATAACTTTCTTGTTTGAAAGTTCTAGATATTTAATCATAAATGTAAATTCACACCGACATTTTTTCCAAGACCCATCTTAGTGCGTTATGGTGGAGCAATTAGAATATATACCGCACATTTAAAAATTCTTCGATGGGTAATATTTGATTCGTGATCCAAAATCAATTATAAAGGGGAGAACATATAATAATTTGTTGGTTTGATGCGAGTATATCCCTCTACAAAAATATGGTGCTTTGTCCTCATAATAGCTGTGTTACAATTAATTGCAATCATTTAATAAATGATTCATAATAGCTGTGTTACAATTAATTGCAATCATTTAATAAATGATTATATTAAATCATTTTGAGTATAAATAAAAACAACAATTGGTTGTCCTATAATTATTTCAATCAACACATGCCATAATCATTAAAAGCTTAATGTATAAATTCAGTAGATAAATTCTCAAGATAAATCTGGAAAATGTATTTTTAATAAATAATCATGCAAA